AAAAAAAAACGATCTCAAGCTGATGACTCTGCCGTGAGAGGTTTGGCATGATATGCAGCGGCACGTGCCGGTCTCTGTCCGGCACGGGTGAAATAATTATAATGCTGAAGGTGAGGTACTCCCCTTCATATTTCTTCATTAAAGAACTTCTAAAGTAATTTGAAAACCTTGTGTGAGACATAATTTCACAAACTTCGTGAGTGAATCACCGCACGCGCTCTCTCTTTCTCTCAAAATACGCAAATGGCTTCAAATCACCACACATGACGTCTGTCTATAAGCGAGCTGCACAGTTGACACAGGAATTGTCACTTGCACAATCAAGGCAGTGTCACATCGTCACTAAAGTTTATAAATTGCATTACTTTGTAATTCTTGCCAGTGTTTAACCATTCAGTGCTCGCGAGCTCTCCTGGAGACTGTGCGCTCATGCACACTCGCAGCGCAGCGCGCACACATAATGTCAGATTCACATTACTCCGTTTGCGGTGCATATGTGGTGCGTATTTTTTCCGCGCTCATGTTAACGGATTAAAGCCTTCACCGCACACGGTTGCGGCCCGGCAATGCGCTCTAGGAGTGGTGCGTCTGCAGCAGTGCAGCGATCATTTCCGCACCGAGTCTTGCTGCGCTGCAAGCGCTGAATTAAAGTAACAGCTCATTCTTTGCAGTAAATATAAACATGGATTGACACGAAAATTTAGTAATTACACCATAAATGCATATTATTAAAGTCTACTGTGTTTCACAGTCAACACGTATTGCTTTTTGGCTAGGTTTAAAGGGAAAAAGAGCACTTTTAGATAAACAAGGCAACAATAGATGGCACTCATGGAGGTAGAAAAACAAAGTTCTTTATGAACCGCAGGATTGCTTGCAATAAAGATTTAAATGCAAAAGAAAAGGCAGTAGAGCTGACTATTTCTGTCAATGGTAAGTTTGTGATAGCGTAAGAAAAGTAGTTTAAATGTTTTGCCACTTGCTTGAGCAACTTGATCTATAAATCTAGAAGTGCAAAAGTAAAAAGCATTGAATAATGTGTTGGTTATATTTGTTTAAACATGTCTGTGAAAGATTGTATTACTGTACTGTGTAAAAGAATTGGAATGCTGAAAAAGCATTTTCAGTGACAATGTTTGGATTTGAAATCAAACTACTAGATAAATGTTGTGTTTGTAGTAAACCGCAAAGGATCAGTAGCGGACTCCTGTGTGAAAGCACAGTCCGTGCTGCTTCCCCTCTCACAAGAGTCACCTAAGAGGGGAATCCCCCCCTGAATAAATGTCTAAAAATCCTGATTGGAGTATCACTATAAATAGTTATAAATGATAAAAAGAAGGCTTTAAAAGATTGGTATCTGTGATCTGTATTGGCAGAAAGAAAAATTCTTAAAGGGGCAGTTCACCCAAAAATGAAAATTCTGTCATTTAATTACTCGCCCTCATGTCATTCCAAACCCGTGAGACCTCCGAACACAAATTAAGATACTTTTGATGAAATCAGAGCTTTCGGACCCTGCAGAGAGAGCAACGCAACTGACACGTTCAAGGCCCAGAAACTGCTTTCTGTGATTGGCGATTGGTGATCGGCCTCGAAAATCCTGATCGGAGCACCCCTAGTAAAAAAAATCTAGATTCTTAAAGGGGCAGTTCACCCAAAAATGAAAATTCTGTCATTTAATTACTCGCCCTCATGTCATTCCAAACCCGTGAGACCTCCGAACACAAATTAAGATACTTTTGATGAAATCAGAGCTTTCGGACCCTGCAGAGAGAGCAACGCAACTGACACGTTCAAGGCCCAGAAAGGTAGTGGGGTAGTGTTAAAATAGTCCATGTGACTTCAGTGGTTCAACCGTAATTTTATGAAGCTATGAGAATACGGTTTCTTCTCTTCCGTGTCAGTCTTCGGGTTTGGAGCGACATGAGGGTGAGTAATTATTGACAATTTTAATTTTGGGGTAAACGCATCCCTTTTAAGTGAAAAATGTCTTTTCAGAGTAAGAGCGAGCTTCTGCCCACAGTCCAGACCTTGGAGAGTTTGGGTTATAACCTGTATGCCAGTCTAGGCACTGCTGACTTCTACACTGAACATGGAGTCAAGGTACAGTGAATAACAAAACATATTGTAACTTATTAAAAAATAACATCTGCTAATGAACTTCTTTTGTGTTTTTCTTGTACAGCTAATTTAACAGGTTAAGTTTGCTGTTTTATGAATTCTGTTTGTTTATCTGTCTCCTATCAGGTGATGGCAGTGGACTGGCCTTTTGAAGAGGAGAGTGACTGCCCTAGTAAGGACAAACAAAGGAACATCATGGACTATCTGGAGGAGAACCATTTTGACTTGGTCGTCAATTTGTCCATGAGGAACTCTGGTGGAAGACGCTTGTCCTCCTTTGTGACCAAAGGTTACCGCACTCGTCGAATGGCCATTGACTACTCCGTACCACTCATCACTGACATCAAGTGCACCAAGTTGTTTGTTCAGGTGAGCTGTGACAAACTCACATTGTTAACAACCCAACAAATTTAAAAGTTTATACTACAGATGTGGCCATTACAAATGCATTAGAAGGAGACTTTTTTGTTGTTGTTGTCCCGTCCATTGCCGTGGTTATCACTGTATAAATCACTGGTATTTCAAGAGGTAATCCAGCATAAATCTGCGGATGTCATTCCCGAAACTTTGCAGCATGTATGTAATAAGTTTCATACAAATTCTGAATGGATTATAGCCTAGAAAGTGCACAAAGCACGCTCCTCTTATTGTCATTAAAAAGCGTCACTCATCTAAGTTAATCGCGATCTCACAAAGTTCACAATATATAATCCATAAAGCTCTCTAAACTGCACAATGAATCTCTTATTTACATTGTGTCTGCACTTTAATTATGAGGTGATTCAAAAGTGTGGAAAACCGCACTTAATGAAAACTTTGGCACTTTCAGTGGTGAGGGAATAAACTAAAACCTAGCCAAAACTAAAACAGATATGTCTGTGATTGGCTATATTGCGCAACGCTGCAAAAACATGTTGTAAATAGTGCAAATATGCACTGGATAGTTTGCCAGATCTTCAGTTGCTTTTGCTTTCATTTGAGGGTATTTAACATCTTCTATTATCCCTTTAGAACCGGTCCTGGGCCTAGCTAACAATTGCAGCAGGGCTGACATTGGGGTTTCCATGACTAATGATATGGGGAAACTGCACACACCCCAAACCCCCCCCAATGTCACCCATGTCAGTGCTATATGATTGCCGATACACGCCTGCGTCCACTTGATGTGCACAAATTACCATAGACATCTATATATGCAGGCACGGATACTAGAACCCAAGGCATTATCACAGGCTTCAAAACAAATCACAGTTTCATGTTTGTCATAATTAATTATCTATGTCAATAACCCAAATACATCTTTAGAACAAACACACACACACATATATATGCACTCTATAGGCAATTTTTTGTGTCTTGTCTAAAATTCTACTAGAGCATCTAAAAGGTGGTTCTAGAGCTTCTTCTAGAGCAGAGCAGGGCTGGGCAACTTCAGTCCTGCACGCCCACTGTCCTGCAGAGTTTATTTCCAACTCTAATCAAACTAATCAAAATAAAAAATTATATATATATACTAACAATCTTTTGTAATTGTAATGCTAAGTTGAACACTGCTACAATAAAAATAATTAGCATTACAATTACAAAAGATTGTTAGTTGGGTTTTATTATTTATAATTACATATACAGTACTGTTATTTTTACATCATACAATAAGAGCTCTTAAACTGAGCACACATTTTCTGTTCTAAACATTTAAACCTATTGTCCAACACAGCAAAACTAGGTTATGATCAATAGTAATGCATTTTATATTTACATTTAGTCATTTAGCAGACGCTTTTATCCAAAGCGACTTACAAATGAGGACAATAAAAGCAGTCAAAACTAACAAAAGAGCAACAATATATAAGTGCAAATGACAAGTCTCGGTTAGCCTAACGCAGTACACGTAGAAAGGGGTGTATGTGTGTGTGTGTGTGTGTGTGTGTCTCACAAAGAAAAACGAGTAGATAGAATGGAAAAAAAGGAAGCTAATGTTTTTTTAAATAAAAAGAATTAAAGGGGTCATATGACATTGCTAAAAATAACGTTGTGTATTTGGTGTAATGTAATGCGTTTATGCGGTTTAAGGTTCAAAAAACACATTTTCCATATAATGTACATTATTGTTTGTCCTCTATGCCCCGCCTTTCTGAAACGCGTAGATTTTTACAAAGCTCATCGGTCTGAAAAAGCAAGATGTGCTCTGATTGGCCAGCTATCTAGTGCATTGTGATTGGCTGAATGCCTCAAGCGTGTGACGGAAATGTTACGCCCCTTACCATACTGTGATGCCGTGTCCCGGCAGGACGAGACTCAGTCCAGCTGCTCTGCTCGTGCACATCCCATCATCGGTTCTCTTTTAGCAGTTCAATCAATGTACTGTTAGGAGTAACTGAATAACTCTGGATATTAGATTATGTGTGTGTGTGTGTGTCTCACAAAGAAAAACGAGTAGATAGAATGGAAAAAAAGGAAGCTAATGTTTTTTTAAATAAAAAGAGAATTAAAGGGGTCATATGACATTGCTAAAAATAACGTTGTGTATTTGGTGTAATGTAATGCGTTTATGCGGTTTAAGGTTCAAAAAACACATTTTCCATATAATGTACATTATTGTTTGTCCTCTATGCCCCGCCTTTCTGAAACGCGTAGATTTTTACAAAGCTCATCGGTCTGAAAAAGCAAGATGTGCTCTGATTGGCCAGCTATCTAGTGCATTGTGATTGGCTGAATGCCTCAAGCGTGTGACGGAAATGTTACGCCCCTTACCATACTGTGATGCCGTGTCCCGGCAGGACGAGACTCAGTCCAGCTGCTCTGCTCGTGCACATCCCATCATCGGTTCTCTTTTAGCAGTTCAATCAATGTACTGTTAGGAGTAACTGAATAACTCTGGATATTAGATTATTTCGCATCAGAGGGAGTGTCAGGCACGTTTATAACTTAACTTAACTTAAAGGTGCAATAGGAGATCTTGGAAAATGCTAACTTTAGCCTGATAGCACTGAAAGCGAATGTCCCACCCTCACAGAGACAACATTACTACAATAGGCTACATCAGGTTCCCAACTCCAGCCCATGTTCCTAAGTGAAGTAAACTTCAACGGATTTACCCCGCTCAGGGAGTAGGGAGCAATGAACACTGTGTAGGGATCATATCGATCGGAACACAGTTCATGCACGTAGCTCACTTCTAACGAGCTGGCGCGAGGACTAGATTAACCGCTGGGCTACATCATGTGTCATTCACCGGTGAGAAATCTTTAAAAGTACTACAATACCAGGAAGGAAGATCGGGTTGTTGATGTTTGCCTGCCATCCTCGCTCTGTCTGCACAGCGTGCGTGAACGCGCTGATGACGTATCCAGTCTGCGCGAACTGGGTGTGCAGAGGTATGGTAATACATATGTTGACAGGCAGGTAGGAAAGCATATTAAAACGGTCGGACCGAGCGTTTTGATTGAACGAACATTTCTTGATCCTACGCCTTCCACAGAATATATAAATACAGACAGATACATTTAGACGGGATGTGAAGAGACTTTCGGGATGTGAAGAGACTTTCAACCAGCATAACAAAAAATGTTTCTGAAGACAATCACCTATTGCACCTTTAAGTAATTTGTGGATTGGTGCGTACTGGAGACGCAAACAGTTTCAAACGATTCGGTTCGATTTGGTGAACTGGTTCGACCGGTTCACTAAGAAGATCCGGTTAAACAGAACGATTCGTTCACGATCCGGACATCACTAGATGAGACAAAACCAATAAAACCCATTACAAACGAGGCATTTGTTGCATCCAGTGTGGGGCCATGATTACAGATTATAATGACTTATACTGTTTTTTTTTTACGTGTTGCGTTGCGTATCACGCTGCGTAAACACAAAACCATGTCTGCATTTGTAATCAGAGAAACCACAAACAACAAGCCCTACTCTACACTGCTCAAAACTCGCGTTTGAATCATCATTGGCAAATTATTTAAATATAAAAAACGTACTTACAGGCTGTGAGACAGATGCGCCAGACTGTCCTTGTAAATTTGGAACTGCCCAACTTTATAGAAACAGCCTTTGTGCCACAGACTCGTTAGGCTACTGGTTCAGGAAACAGTCCTCATCCATCCTCCATAAAATGCGCAGCACACATCTGAATATTTGGGTTGAACTGTTCTGGAACAGTATTGTAAATGCAACTTAACCACTGATTTCTAGTGGTGTCCTCTTTTGGAAGGCCAAACTAAGTAGTTTCGCTTTCCCAACAAAACACACAGTGTCTTCATAACATGGCAGCTGCGGCAACAGCTAGAATAAAAGTTACGCCTTCTTTCTTTACGTGAACATTTGGGTGGCGTTATGCAAATCTTCCCAGATAGTGAGGTAGATATATGGGGGCGTGTTAGAACGAGCCGTTTTAGGTAGGTGTGGCTGACTCTTTATAAAGAATATCTCTTTGGATTTGAGACTTTAGTCTTTGCAACTTTGCAGATCTTCTTTATGCACCAAGAGCTTGTAACACTCCAAAGAGAAAGGAAAAATTTAACTCTCATCATATGACCCCTTTAAAATAGAATAGAAAGTGCTAGAGTTAGAGGTTTAAATAAAAATGGAAGAGATGTGTTTTTAGTCGTTTCTTGAAGATGGATAAGGACTCAGCTGCTCGGATTGATTTGGGCAAGTCATTCCACCAGGAGGGAACATTTAATGAAAAAGTCTGTGAAAGTGATTTTGTGCCTCTTTGAGATGGCACAATGTGTCGTTCACTTGCAGAACGCAAGCTTCTAGAGGGCACACAACTCTGAAGTAAGGAATTTAGGTAAATGTGTGCAGAGCCAGTGGTGGTTTTGTAAGCAAACATTAATGCCTTGAATTTTATGCGAGCAGCTAGCTACTGGTAGCCAGTGCAAATGGATGAACAGAGGTGTGACATGCGGTCTTTTCGGCTCATTAAAGATTAATCTTGCAGCTGCATTTTAACAGTATTTTATAAAAATTATTATTATTATTTTTTTATACGTAAGTGTTATGGATGTTTACAGTTACCGGTTATTTTTACATTTAATTTTAGAATTTGATCCCTGTGTTTTAAAAATACAGGTTAAATATTTATTAATATAAAATATAAATTTATTTATTTGTTATGTGTCTATCTAGCTAGCTAACTAGCTAGATTTAGACATCATACCCCTGCTGTTCTGGACAGAAAAAAATGTGTTTCCTGTATGAAATATTTAAAATGACAGATTGGAGATGCTTGTGCGGTACTACATGTTTTTGGTAAGCAATTTTTTTTCCAGTGGCTTTGAAAAAAAATAGTGAGGACAGAATCGAATCGGAATTAAGAGAGGAAGCACTCCTAAAGCTAGTTTCAGTTTGTCAATAAGGTAAACTGTCCATGCGCTATCTGGTGGATATTCTGGGAAGTGTAAGGTTGTTTTTTTTCCCCCCTCTCTCGCTCTCCTCTAAGAAACTGGTCTGACTAGTCTTGCAGCATTTCGTGATCCTACTTGGAAAAACTCAGTTTTGGGCCACATCTGTTTATGCTGTTGTACGTCTAAAATTCTGAAGATTGTAATGTATGTGGGCTTGGCAGGCACTGGGGCAAATTGGTCAGGCTCCTCATGTAAAGACTCATATAGACAGCATGACCTCGCAGAAACTCATCCGTTTACCTGGTGAGTATGGCCACATCATTTCAAATGTAATTGAGTTGTCAGAACAAATATATTACATTGAGATTGATTCAATTTATTCTTGTATGTCTAAAGGTTTGATTGATGTCCATGTGCATCTGCGGGAGCCTGGTGCCACCCATAAAGAGGACTTCTCCTCGGGCACAGCTGCTGCCCTGGCTGGAGGAATCACTATGGTGTGCGCCATGCCCAATACCAACCCTGCCATCATTACATTTGTTTTTAATGATGCAGTTTGTCATGTTTTACTGTCATGATAGAATTTGATTACGATCTTCTTTGCATGCAGCACTTTGAAAAGTGGCCGAAGCACTTGCCCATTGTGGCACATGCAGAAAAACAGACGGTGGCTGCAATCTTGATGGTGGCGCAGCTGTATCAGCGACCCGTTCATATCTGCCATGTTGCCAAGAAAGAAGAGGTAAGAATCCTTGTTCCATGTCGTGGTCTAATAACTGCATTTTATTTCAACTTCATTGTAAATCCTTCATCCAGTTTCTTTACATATTCCTGTGATTTGTGACTAACTAAAATCATGCTTTGTTTCTCAGATTCTGATCATTCGAGCTGCTAAACAAAAGGGCATCCAGGTGACGTGTGAAGTGGCACCTCACCATCTCTTCCTGTGTGAAGATAATGTGCCTGCCATTGGAAACGGCAGGGCGCAAGTGCGGCCCATGCTTGGTACACGTGAGGACATGGAGGCATTGTGGGAAAATCTAGACATCATTGACTGTTTCGCAACAGACCACGGTAATAATGAGATTAAATATCTCTGCTGAGCCTCACATAGGTTTGTGTACTTGTTTGTCAGGCAAACAAAATTGTTTTAAAATCCCTAATTTAAGACCAAAATTGTTAACTTAAGTTTCTGCTCGAGTTCCAAGCTACATCCAAACTTTGTTCAGAACTTCAGCCTATTCTTTCCTATTGTGCTACATATTTTCTAATTGATTGGTCAGACATGCTTGCTGTGCCTGATCAAAAAAAGACTTTTAAGCAGTCCTACAAGATGATCGGATATAATAAACGTATATAAAATTATTAATTTCTTCAAAAAAAAATAAAAAATAGACCCCAAACCTAAATGGCCACATCTGAGCAGTTCTTGGAAGCTTTTATTTATTTGGTTATTTTTAACTTCCAGCCCCTCATTCAGTAGAGGAGAAAAACTCTGAGAAACCACCTCCAGGTTACCCGGGTCTGGAGACTATGCTGCCTCTGCTGCTCACGGCCGTCAGCGAGGGTCGCCTTACCATTGATGACATCATCAAGAGGCTCTATGAAAACCCCAGTAAAATATTCTCTCTTCCTGCTCAAGAAGACACTTATGTAGAGGTATTTAAGTTTGACAAAGTTCAGATGGTGAATGGCTGTCTAAAAATTTAAAATGTTTTCAAATTTCAAAGTGATCCTTGAATTTTCCAGGTGGACTTGGAGCAAGAGTGGACTATTCCGAAGCACATGCAATTCACTAAGTCAAAGTGGACGCCGTTTGAGGGCATGAAAGTGAAAGGAAAAGTCATGAGGGTGGTACTCAGAGGAGAGGTGGCCTATATTGATGGACAGGTAAAGATCTGATCTGGAAACCATGTTATGTTGTGTTTTTTTAGGGTTCTTTGAATAGTTAAAAATTATTTGAAATATAATTTTTTTTGGCTCAATGTAAAAGTCTTTACTGTCATTTTTGATCACTTTAATGCATCCTCGCTGACAAAAAAATAGCTTTGAACAGTAGTATATGTGATTTGGTACCTTTTCTCTTACATCTAATGAATAGTTGCCCAGCTAATTTTGTCTGGAGCACATGTTTGTCATTAATTTCAATGTTCAATCATTCCTCTTTCTCTTAAGGTATTGGTACCTCCAGGTTATGGTCAGGATGTGAAGTCATGGTCAACACCCCCAGCAGGAACAACTGAGGTTATAAAGGATGCTCCTAAGGTAATGCGCTAACTGATCCTTAGTTATAATCAAAAACCTGAACATGCATTGTTTATGGTTCAGCTTTTGCTTTCTAATGTGCACTGGCTAACAAATAACCATCCATCCATCCATTCTTCAAACTGCTGATCCTTTTTAGTGTCATTGGAAGCAAATAACTATGCTTGTCAATTACAGCGTGTGAGTGAGGCATTGACTCCTGAGCGCCCCCGTCAGGCAGCACCTGTTGATGTGGTCCGTAGCCGTGCCCCGAGTCCACGCCGTTCAACTGGGGATGGACGCTTCATTCTCCCGCCTCGTATCCACTGCACATCCGATCCTGGCCTGCCTCCAGGTACATACAGAGTATTCCACAGAGCTTGTGCATGAGTTTGTGTGCCGAATGAACCACTATACTGGAAATGATTGGTTTGTTACATTTTAATTCAGACAGTGGTTCAGTTGGATGTCAGCTTTTGTTTTGCTAGCATCAGTTGTTTGTTTGAGCATGTATGTCCCTTGAACTTGCAAATGGTTCAGTTGAACCATTTGCTGGTCCAATATGATCATATCTCAAGTAAGGCATGTTTTTATATGCAGGTTTCAAAAGATCTACCATACAACCCCAAAAGGCATTGGGTAAAGTCCATGTGATGTGTATAGTTTTATCAAATCCTTATCCAAGTCTCATGATTCTGCAACTGTGTCTGTGAATTGAAAATGAATATCCATATTTTCCATCTTCATTATTTTCATTCGATCAAGGTCATTTAAACAATCAGTCTTTTTCTAGCATGTTTCGTAATTGAAAAAAGTTCAAACCTCTAGAGCTAAATATCTCAAACCTTAAAATCAGCTAGGAAATAAAAAAAGAATAGTACAAAAGTGGATGCATGCTAAAACCTGATTTAAATCAAATGACTAAATTGGTGATTTTATATGTTGCATATTGGGATAAGACAAATAGTTAAATGTCTGTGTATATACACTTCGTTGCTTTATAATATTAATTAATTACATGGAATACAGTTTTACTCAAAAAAAAAAAAATTTAAAAAAAAAAACCTTTTTGGAAAACGAAATGTTTACAAATACTGCATTGGCAATTGTTAAAATTCTAACTGTACAGTTACTAATGCATTGTTTTCAAACTTTCTGCCTCAATGTTTGAGCAGCTGAAGAGGAGGTGTCATTAAAAGCACCGTATGATGCAGGTTTGACGTTTGTAGAGATGTTTACCAGAGCTTTGCCACCCTTAGCTTCTGTTCTTTCTGCCAATCGGTGTTTGTTCCTGGATTCATTTCATGGGCATATTTTAGTCTTAAGCATAATCAAAACTAGGGCTGCAACAACTAATCGATAAAATCGATTATGAAAATCATCGACAACGATTCTCATTATCGATTAATCGGGTCTGCCCATAGTGCACGTCCAACGGAGTTTACATACTTGTCCAACTTCAGCCGGTGGCGTTAAATTAAAGCACTGAATTACTTATTTCTATTGACAAACTGCATCTAAAATAGTGGAGGAAACAGAATGAGATGCTAAATAAAAAAAAAAAACCTTTTTGGAAAACGAAATGTTTACAAATACTGCATTGGCAATTGTTAAAATTCTAACTGTACAGTTACTAATGCATTGTTTTCAAACTTTGTGCCTCAATGTTTGAGCAGCTGAAGAGGAGGTGTCATTAAAAGCACCGTATGATGCAGGTTTGACGTTTGTAGAGATGTTTACCAGAGCTTTGCCACCCTTAGCTTCTGTTCTTTCTGCCAATCGGTGTTTGTTCCTGGATTCATTTCATGGGCATATTTTAGTCTTAAGCATAATCAAAACTAGGGCTGCAACAACTAATCGATAAAATCGATTATGAAAATCATCGACAACGATTCTCATTATCGATTAATCGGGTCTGCCCATAGTGCACGTCCAACGGAGTTTACATACTTGTCCAACTTCAGCCGGTGGCGTTAAATTAAAGCACTGAATTACTTATTTCTATTGACAAACTGCATCTAAAATAGTGGAGGAAACAGAATGAGATGCTGCAGGAGAGTTACGTGCTCCAAGCTACCCAAAACATGAGAATTCTTTATTTTAAGCTTTAAGTTAATGCATTAGTGTAATGGCTTGCCCTGTCAGGCGCTTTAACAGATGCGTGTGCATCCTCAGCGCAAAAACACTTTCAGTTAACGGTCATATCCTTATGTATAAGTGTCACAAATTCACGCGAGCATTTCCATTTTTGCATAAAGGTCCGACCTGACAGTCTGTGTTAAGTTTTAATCTTTACTGAATGAACGCCAGCACGGCGTCAGACAGACGGAAAACAGAAACGATTAATAATCGGCTCAAAAACATTAATTGTGCTGAAATATCTGTTGTTGAATATTTTATGAGCGTGGGAACTGTAAGGATAACAGCATGTAATTGTCTGAATATAAATATCAGACGCTTCAAAACCGCCTTTAACAGGATAAAGAAATTACACTAAGCCCTATTTGGAATCCATGAGTTTATCACTGAGGTGATGAGTAAATTTATTTTTACAGACGTCCATATGAGAAACAATTACCGTCCGAATCGGGCTCTGAAATGACTGTGGTCAAAGTGAACGTGTTCCTGCAGAACATTACTCTTACCTATTGGTTACCACTGAGTTTGTGATTTTATTAGCCTTTATCATCTATATTATTATTTTAATTTTTAATGCAGAGATTTAATTTATATTCACTATATACAATGCTTGACAAATTTATTAAAACAAATTTATGTAAGGTTTTTAACATTATTGTTTGTGCCACTGCTGCTCTAAACTAAACAGTACTGGTGATTTACCAAAATCATTTTTTAGCTTTCTGTATGGGTTAGTCCTCCAATATGCATAAGCTCTTTAGTAACAGTAGTAGGCCGTTTCTAATGCTATAATATAATTATTGCTGTTATCTATGAAAGAAAGGCAGAGAGCTTTATAGTGTTTTTTTTCAGATACCCAATTACAGTCAAAAAAGTACTTAAACAATGCCAGCAAGCTATGAAGGGCATAGGAAGCCATTTTTGTTATGTGAATAAATAAAAGTATTTAGTTATAAATAAATGACACGAACATTTTTTTGATTTAAACAATTTTTTGACAGATTCCTAAAATGTGTTTTCTCTTTATGGCAGGTGGTCTAATAAATTGTTAAGCACTATGTTTTCATAGCATTCAGTTGGAATGTTTGTTTTAAGGACATTGGGCAGAATGTGGAATATTGTGTTTTTGTCAATAAAATAAAAAAAGAAAGTTGTTTGTTTTTAATCCGATTAATCGAAGGGGAAAAATATATATATAAAAAATAATCGACCAACTAATTGGTTATCAAAATAATCGTTAGTTGCAGCCCTAATCAAAACAAGACATGATGGTATCTTCCCCTGCGCTGCCCATGCTTTGCATGCATGCTGTTACTTGTGATTCAGGTTGATCCCAATGAGCTCTTATGCGGTGTTCAGTTTATTGGAGTAAAGTGAGATTTATTGATACATGGAAGTGATGTATTGGTTGCTGATTGTGACACTGTTTTGCTTCCATTATCAGAATTGGCTCCCCCAATGGATGCATATGCATACCCTCCTCCCCTGGCCAGGATCCTGTCACCTCAAGCTGGGCAGCAGCAGATCCTGCCCCACCCCCAGACCTCCCCACTGCTGCACCCACTGGTGGGCCAGCACATCCTGTCCGTGCGCCAGTTCAGCAAGGAACAGGTGACACCATGTTATCTATCCTGTTGTCGAGTCCAGGAATATTGTATTTGTGTATTTACAGTGGCTCATCAATCTTTCTTGTCTGTCTTGGGCTTTTAGATGTCACACTTGTTCAATGTGGCACATACTCTTCGTCTGATGGTGCAGAAAGAAAGACCCTTGGATATTTTGAAGGTATACTGACTATTAGTAAATTCTTGTTCATTTCTTTTTACTCAAACATCACTTGATATTTTAAAATAAAAATGTCTAATTGGTGAATTAATCTTTTGTTTCTGAATCATGAGCTGGTTCTTAAAGAATGTGTCAAAGTTCAGATCAATTTCTTATGAGTTATTGGTTTGAATCAGTCTAATGACTCTTGCTGACTGAATCATTCAGAATGGTTCTTGTCTTATTGAATCAGAAGTCCTACTATGAGAACAAATGGTTCTGTCATAAGATACTTTCAAATGTTATCAAAAGGTAGTATTGTTTTTAAATGAACTACTGTTCAAAAGTTTGGGGTTAGTAAGATATTACGATGGATAGATGCAGGGACGTGCGCAGACATTTTGAGGGGCAGTGGAAAAAAGGGCTATTTTTTATTTATTTTTTTTTCTAAACAAAACATTAAATATAGCCTATTAGGGGTGTGCGATATTGACAAAATATATTTTAATATTTTTTGGGGATTTTATCGATAACGATATTTTGCTGAGTGTTATTGTGCTGATATCTTAAGGACAACCGTAGACAGCTTACTCCTAAAGTTTTTGATATTCCTCATATTTTGTGTGGTGATCATTTCACAGCAGTGATAGAAATTCTTTTCCAATAAGTTTAAATTGATTTTTTCCTTTTAAAGGGGTCATATGATGCTATTTTAAAGATCATTATTTGGTGTAACAGAATATGTTGACATGCTTTAATGTTCAAAAACACATTATTTTTCAAATACTGTACATTATTGTAGGTCCTCTATGCCCCGCCTCTCTCAAACACGTTGTTTTCAACAAAGCCCCCTCCTTTGACAAGCGCAGTCTGCTCTGATTGGCCAGCTGACCCAGTGCATTGTGATTGGCCGAACACCACAAGCATGTGTCGGAAATGTAACGCCCCTTACCATAATCGCGAGCTTCAGCTTTCAAAGTAAATATCAA